TTTTTTTTTTTTTTTTTTTTTTTTTTTTTTTTTTTTTTTTTTTTTTTTTTTTTTGATTCCTCCAAAGTTGCTGACGTGCAGTTTGACTCTCGTGCCCTCGTGCTGTCCACGACGAGTGGTTCTTTTATCGAAATGCTCTTTCTGGGCTAATAGAGAAATCATGTATGCATCTTTCCCTCCATCGATGAGCTGCGTAAGCTCAAGGGAGGATCTCTCTTAATGGATGTCCCGTAATTCACTTGTAGAATATGCGATAAGAGAGTTTACTTTATTTCTTTGTCTTCGTGCTCTGAGATTTATTGGACGTAATATTTGTTTTTTACTTGCACAGGGTGTGTGCGTATTTTTATCAGGTTTTAAAGTCATCGAAAAATAAATTTTGTTTCTAGCCGATTTTTCAAAAGACTCAAGAGCTGTGATTGACAAGTTCTAAAGAAGCATCTTAACGCATTGATTCGCGTGAAAAATATTTATACGTATTATTTTTGTCATAAAAGTATAAAAAAAGTCCTAGTAAATAATAGTAAATTATTGATTATAAATAAAAAATGATAAACTGCGCATTTCAAATATGAACTGTTGATTTTGATATTCATAAATACTGGTAAATCAGTGAACTCATACGAAGAAAATAGTAAGCTCTTAAGCTCAGAATTAATTTAAAAAATACTGTATAATTTAGGGATTTGCTTGGGTGATAAGTTTCGACGTTGTTGATACATCTAATCATTCCAAAAGTATTAGAATTCATAAAAAAAATTTTATTAGTATCCACGACATGTTTTTAGAGCACAACGTCGAATTGTATATGACAAATGTAATTTACTTGGAAATACACCAATTTGGGAATTTTTTATCTAGTCACAGATTAGACTTATTTTTTACATAGTTTCAAAGCACATTAATACTTTGTTTGATAAGAATAAAGTATCGTTTTGGAATTCTCATTAGAAAAAATAAAATCTTATTGTGAAATATCTACAACGAAAGACTTCAAAGTATAAAGAATTCAATTATCATTGTATACCTGTGAAATAGTTTGTGCACGTTAATATTGTATTTCAAACTCACTAGGATACACAGAATTGTGTTGAAAAATACGTATGATGGTCCAAAATTGAATTGCCATAGAGAACAAATGGAACAACCCTCATACATAAATCGAAATTTAAAATTTCATCCGGTCGAATGCAAGGCCAAATCTTCGATGGAAGTAACGCGTGTTGAAAAAATTGCAGCCCCTCACTACACCCACACGTTCACGTGTAATACGTCTACTCGTTTATATATTTGATACAAAGTCAGATTACATACAAAGCTTCAGTTGCCTCAGCAGGAGCTGTATACACATACAGCTTGGATAAGGCATATATTATATTATACCAATATGCAAGTAAAATTGTCGTGTTATAACGATAATAAATGCTCTGTTTCGTTTCCTTCATGGGTGCAAAAAACACATGTTTATCATCACAAATACTGCAGCAGCCCATACCCGGTTTTGTGAACATGTACATCTATACATACATGCATAATATATACGTAGGAGCGAAATAAGAGAAGAAGGCGAGTCGGGTTGACTCGAGTAGAGATCGGTATATACACCTATACATATACGCAAGTTATACAGCCAGCGATCCGGTTTCTCCGTCAGCAAGCGCGCCTTTCGCCCCTCGGCTATAATATAGGCTCTCCCACCCGCACGCGCCTTATCTCGTTTAAGCGTGTGTGTGTGAGTATGTATATTGGACCGATACCACTGCCTACTTTATTTTATTTTATTTGAGCACGATGCCTTTTCCGACTTTTTTACGGTTTGCTCTGTGCTGTAGCAGAGAGTAGGTGGATATACTTTCAGAAATATACGTATAGTTGTGGTTTTTCAAATCACTTGATCTGCTGTACGACTTTCAACGCGACTTTTTTTTGTTCAAAATTCATAATGAATACCATTACACTAATGAATGTTAATCTTTGACTGATAATACTTTATTTCGTTATCAGGTGTTGGAAATAGCGTAAAAATTTATCAAATTTTTTAACCAAAGCTTGTGATGTCCATTACTTTGTAGCAAATGCTTATCAACTTCATATTATTCTTTTGTACGTCGTTTTACTTTTCTCAAATCATAACGTGTACATATATTTATGTACACGTGTCTCTACATCATACAGGAAGTTAAAAAAGGCTTTTTCACGTAATGACCCTCATAGCTCTCGCAAACAACCCACACTTTTATATGCTATTTATAAGTGCTCCACAAAATTTTTGGCATGAGATGCTCCACTTTACCCACAATCCCGTAAAATTTAGTCAATTTTTCTATGATACACATTTCAAGTTGTTTGTATAAATCCTCATATGACAGCAAGACTTCCAAAATGTTCGTACGCATACAGAAGTCTTATCGGTAAAGACTTAATGGAAATCCGAATGAAAACAGATGAAAAACTTATATAGTAGGCATAAATAAAAACGGCATAAAGATACATATTAAACATATAATAAATTATAGGAAAACCCGTTAGACTGAAAAAGATAGTTACGCGTTCAGAGACACTCAAGTAAGCACGAATACTCTCAATTGAACATGCGACAGTATCAAAGCATAAAAACTATCTCAAATCAATTAAAGGGACAATAATAAACACTCAAACTCGGGTAGCCAACTATCGAAGAGTTTTAAAGAAGTATATATAAAAATTAATTATTTCAAAAGATGAATAAGAAAATGAGACAGTAAAACTAAAAAAGATAACAACCTAATGCATGCAAACTAAAAATAAAAATATAGTACACAATACATAATAGATGAATTAAAAGAAATCAAGCCGAAAAGAAATATCCAGTTAGTACCAGAAATATTTACGAATATGCAAATGCTCTAAACAAATTTATTTAAAATTTTTAAAAAATACATACAAAATTTAGGTAGAAAACAAAAGCACAAATACAGACACAAAGACACAGAATAAAATTAAAAGGTGCAAAGTCAGAAAAAGAAGAAAAAAATTTGTAACATAATCTTTGAAAAATAAGTTAAACATTAGTTAATATACTTAAAATAAAAAAGTTGACATAGACTAAGGTACATCTATATAAGCTTAAATTTTAAATTACAAATATATCAACTCACAATGTAGACGAAAATATACATCGAGTTAAAAGTGAAGATGCAAGTAAAAATGAAGACACACGTGGATATATTGTTACGGTTAGTTATAAAGATAGTAATAAAGATAATGAAAGTAAACATAAGGATGTACATGAAGGTGATAATAAAATTAAACATGAATATTAATCTGAAAGTAATAATAAAGGTACATATAGACATGCTAATAATAGAGTTGAACATGAAAACAGACACAAAGATGATGGAGGTAAAACTAACAATAGACAAGAAGATGCCCATAGACAAGCAAATACACATGTAGAGGATCATAAAGGAGTGAGTTGGAGTGCTAATAAAGTAGCGAGTACAGAGAATATCAGAGAAAAAAGTGGAAATGTAGCAGAGACAATTGAGAAGGATTATAAAGATGGAATGAGAGGTCGAAGTTAGTGTGATAATGAATTATGTAAAGCTAGAAATGCAGGTAATGATTGAGAATAATGAAACAACTCGCAGTACCCAATTTTTATATGTTTAGACCTTCGGATAAATTAGTTTTTCATGTGTTTTTTGATTGTAATGTACAACATTTTAATCTCAACAGTAAAACCATTGGTAGATCTCTATTTCTAAAATAAGTTTGAAAGTAATTCACAATGTGTGAATATTTAAAATCAGTAATAAAGTAGGGAGTCAGGCAAAAAATGAAATATGAAAGTATTAAATATTTCTTCAGATAAGTCTCCTTTTGATGGTTAGTCATCCTAACTGGTCAATTTATTGGTATCAACTAATATAGTCAAAAAATTGAAAAAATGGTTTCTTTGACAAATAAAAATTTTTTCGTTGGAATGTTTACGCACGGGTTGACGAGCACCGTCGAGTGTTCATAGCCAGCAGCCATCCGAGCTTCCCAAGGCGCTCGAAGTAGCTCAAAGCGCATCACAGGCTGTGTGCCAAAGATTCTTAGTTTCACAATTAACTAAGTACTGGTAAAAAAATATCTTGGAATATACGCTAAATATGTTTCTTTGTGTAATTTTTTCTCAGCTACACGATAGTTTTATTTATGTTATTGTGACATTCGTAAACTAGAAGAAGTGCTGTTTATTAGTAACACTAATAACACTTTATCTAATTACCTTTTTTAAATAAAATCATTTGATTTTTGAGATACTGCAAGATAACTAGAAAAAAATTATGTTTACACAGTTATTTTGCAATAAAAAAAACCATGACTCTTTTATCATTTAGACTATTTTATTTAATCATTGTTACATTCACAACCGCTATTCTATGTAAAGTTTATTAATTATTAATTTAAACATAAACTCCTAATAGTCATTAGCAGAGCATTACTGACCCTAAGTGTGTTAAGAATAAATACTCAATCGCTCAATTTGACTGGTTCGATATTTATGGACCTATAAACCTATTGCTAATTTGAATCGTACATATATTTATACATATAAATATGTATACATATTCATTCTTTTACTTCCGTTCAGCCGTTGGCTCTGCTGTGCGTAAATACATATTTTAAAGATAATTGCTAACATTAATTACTAGCGATTATATACTGTTATTTAAGTTATATTTAGTTTTCCTTTCATAATCTGTGTGTGACATAAGGTCAAATCTCAATGAAATTAAAAAAAAAATTGTTATCACTGTTAGGAGATTTATACTTACATAAATATAAATTTTTTGCACATTTTTATTACGTATTTTTTATATTGCAAATTATAATGAACATTTTGACTCCATAAAATCGTCACCAGCAATTAAAAAGTATATATGTATGAAATAGTATATTGCACGAGCCGAAGGCAAGGGCCGTAACGAGGTTCGTAAAGAAGCCTTTTCGAACGAGTTTCGCATACATTTTTGCGCCTGAGAACCCAAAATCAAGCGGTGAAGATGCTATTTTGAGGTTAGAAGGCGAAAAATACCTTTTTTTTTTTTTCTTTTTCATAAAAATTGATTATCTACATAATAACATATCATAAGGGATAAAAATATAAGCATTACGCGTACAAGTAGCGTACAAGAATGTAGTATTTGCCTATTAAATTATTTATATTTGTATACGATCATGGACATAAAAAATAGCTTGGTTTACGCAAAATACTTTTGCACAACCCACTGTTTAATTATAGAGAATTTTACCCTCGTATTAAGAATCAAGATTTCATTATTTGTAAAACTAATGAAGGAAAAAATGCAAGGTCTGGCTACAATGATAAAAAGCCCTTAATGTCTTTACTTTAAGTTTATACAGGCGTTCGCACACTGACAAAAAACTTTCCCAAGAGGATTACCAAGAAAATCATATTATTAGTTTAACGGTTGATGATAACAAATACATTTAGAAGCTTGTGAAATCTGCAGCCATGTATACTAAAACTACAGTCGTATCGTATTTTTGAGGCTGCATTCAGCAATGCTTTGTCTAGTTAAGTGTTAAATAATCGTCAGTTGAAACAAATAACATGATATCGCTTTTCCCCAAATAGAAATTTTTTAGTAACTACATCACTCACCTGACAAAGTGACCAATTTGTTTGCTGTAGTCAGGTGATGAAATTTCATTTGGCTGTTCCTCGGCGACCAATCACTTTTTAACAACGAACAATGACGTGGTGAATTGAGACAGCGATATCGTGTTGTTTTCCTCACACTTACGACAAAGTTTAACTTGACTCCACCCCACGTGGCATTACCTTGGCAAGAGTCCAGCTTTGAATTTCAAAGCGTTAGTACTAGAGTAGCCTCACTCAGTGTGACCGAATATAAGTCAACCACTTAAAAAATAGTACAGTGAAATTTTTGAATTTGAGAAAACTTGATTAAAATTTTGGAGCTGCAAAGACACTTCTGTGAACTTTGAATACTGGAGTTAGCATATATATGGCAATGCTTGCATACTAATTTGAGTACAGTGTTACTAAGCCACAGGTGTTTATTTCCGGTCACGTTATTAGAACAAATATTAATCAATAATTCTTTTATTTTGATTACAGTGAAATCGAAACGACAAAACGGCAAGAAACGGCCCGCTAGTGAAGATTTGCTAGAGGAAATCATCCCTATGAAACGAGCCTTCATGCAAACTGATGGTAAATACATATCATATACATATAACAGTATACTAAAAAAATTTTGCTTATTTTTTTTTGCTGATTTTTAAACACTAAACGTCGCCCATTTCTCGAATTTGCGAAACATCTAAAAAAATTTAATGTACAACAATAGACCTCAATAGAGGAAAATCTTGGAATAATTTGTTTTTTAGAATAAACCAGAAATAAATAATTTTTTGTTAATAAAAAATGTTGAAATCATTTTAACTGCATGTAAATACGTTACTGAGGGTTGGAGTGAGCTTTTACATAAGTACCGTATTTTTAATAAAAAAAATACTGAAAAAAACTGGGTGCAAATAGTTTTTTCGGTCCATCATTAATTGAGTCTCCTGTATCTGACATGACTGGCATAAATAAAATGAACTTGAGAATAGCTAGTTATAAAAAAAAATCAAAATTAGTTTAAAGGTAGCTAATCACACCTGCATTACCTAATTACGTGACATCCGACTATCACACTGAACCAACATTTTCTTAACGCCATTGAAAAGCTCATGATTCCTACTTTCAGTACCCAGCTTTATAGTGAGAATTAAATTATCATTCGGAAGATATTGCATCAAATGTTGTCAAGATTGAATGGCCTCCTATAAGAGCTACATTAAATAAAAATTTTTAAGTGATTGGTTTTAAAAAAATTATCTGACAACATAAGTAGTTTGATTAGTTATTTAAGTTAATATTCCAGTCTGATTCCTGCCAGTTTCATTTATAATTAAAGTATTTTGATTTTGTAACGAGCCACGTTAAGGAGGATTCAGTATTCTACAGACAACTCTCTACAGGGTGTTTGACTTAAAAATTAAACACGTTTTCAATTCAACACAATTAAAAATATTAATCGACTCGCTTATCTTGAACCGTGTGAATGCTCTATCGGGTTTTACACAACTGAGGAATCAGATGAATCTTTTCAGCGTTTCGAGACTTAACTAGCTGTAAAAGTTTTAGTATGTATAGCAAAATGTTACTCTTCATTATGCATTTTTTTTGTGCGTAAGATCATGGAGTGTTACCCACAAGTGGAAAATTGAATATAAAAACTTACATAATTCATATGATACTTTGGAGGACTCAAGGCGGTATACAGATTATATTTTACACATCACAAAGTTACTCTAGACATTTATTTCTTAGTTTTAGACGATTACATTTTATTTTACTCAAGCGTGAAATCAAATATAAAAACTTAATTTACACACAGTCTATTTAACAGAAAATATTATCCATGGGTTTTGGTTTTTACATATCATAAAAAATACTCTTCATATTTATTTTCTGCCCTCGGGTGGTTTTGGGAGGCTGGTACTTCCTCGGGCGAAAAAGCAGTTTTCCGGAACTCGTTCGAAAAGTCTCCTTTACGAACCTCGTTACGTCCCTCGCCTTCGGCTCGGGCCGCAAACCTCTCGGTTCGCAAACAGAGACTTTTCAAACTCGTAGGAAAACTACTATT